AAAACAACTACTAGTTTTTAATTGTAAAACTCATTAAGAAATCTAGAGAATATTCTTAATTCTTAATACCTTAAAAACCTACAAGTTCTAGCCTAATAATCTTATTAATCTCTAAAATTTCTCTTAAGTATGGCTCTAATTTTTTACATTTTTGTTTCTATCGAGCAGTTTCCACTGCCTAAAAATATATATAGTATAATAATTTTCTCGAAAAAGCATCTAAAAACGTAAAAACTAACTGAAAAATACTCTACTATCTCAAAAAAATCTATCTATAGGAGATATACGATAAATATAGATCCTTTAAGAGAGAGAGAGAGATCTTATTTATTATATTATTATTAATTTATTTTAGATAATAGCTGAATTTATTTAAAAAGTAAGTTTAACAAATAAACGTCATAAGCCTTCGACTAAAAATTTCCGAAAGAGAGATCATAAGAGTGAGATATTTTCAGAGGTAGACCTTAATTCTTAAGTCAGATCTCATATTTTGATTTGTAATTTAACAGTTTTAACTTTAAAACTTTTAAGTAGTAGTAGTAATTAACAATAAGTATTTAAGTAGTTTTAACAATTAATTCTATCAGAAACTTTGTAGAATTTTTATCTAGTCTATATCCTAGTAAGGATATTTCTTTATTTCTATATCTATGTCCTTTTCCTATATCATTTATTATTTTCTATATCCTATTTATGTTATAAATATATCTATAAATATAAATATACATATATAATATATATATCTATATTCTATCTTAATATCTATAAATATTATCAAATTTCCAGAGTGATTTTTAATACCTATTCTTTACCTATTCTATTTTATAACTAATTTGAATCTTTAATTAAGTTTATAAACTACATTTATTTACTTTTAAGATAATGTACACCTTAATTTTTGGTGGAGTAAAAGAGCCACTTTCTTGCAGATATTTCCCTAAACCTCTAGAATATATCCAAATCGTATGCTCTCATGACCTTTTCAGAGTCTTGAGATAAAAGTCTATTAAAAAAGTCGAAGAAAGTCTATTAGACTGATGTTAACTCCAATAACTATATAAGCTGTTTTAAAACATTCAAAATCCTTCAATAAATGACTTCCATAATCTATCTAAAGTCTCACTTAACTAAAATGCACACTTCGAATAAAAAACAAAGCATATTCCTATGAAAAAGTATCCCTATCCTATATCTCTATCCAAAAAAAAAAAACCCCTCAACTTTTTTTAAACAAACATTTTTTGTATAACCCCTTGCCATATTTTGATTCCGACTCTGAAAAGTTACTGAAAGTAAATTTATTTCATTTTAATTTATTTATAATATTTTCCATCCATTTAGTTTTGCATTTTTTTCTGCGGCCGTGCCTTTGTTGTTCATTTCATGTGTGAGTGACTATATATATTTTTTTTTATACATATATCCCTACATCCCTCCCTATCCCTACAGATAGATATACTGTGTATTTTGCATATATTTTGTCGGGTTTGTGTGGCAATTTTCAGTTTATGGACATGATTTCCTCTGGTCGGCTCGGCTCGACTCCGCTGGTCTGCTGGTCTGCTATTCCAGCTTGTATAAATAAATGAAAAGATGCAAAAATAAAATTGAAATGAAATTTCATATGCCATTATATTTCACAATTATTTCAATTGTTATTTTTTTTTTTCTCATCTTTATATTATTATTCATTTTTCTTTTTTTTTTGTATTAAACTTTGCACTGTATATTTTTTCACCCTATCGAGCATATTCTTTCATTTTTGCATTTTAAATGTGAAAGCGCCAACATTTGCATTAATTCTTTCTCTCAATTTTTTTTTTTTTTGTGGCTGATTTTGATGTGATTTTATTTTTTTTCTCTTGCAAATTTTTTTTGATGATGATTTAATATGAGCCCCATCCCTGGACAATAATTATTTGTGACGGAGGCAGCCAAAGTGGCCATTTCTTTGTCGGAAAGCGGCCTCTCTCTCTCTCTCGTGTATAATTTTTACGATTGAGCATTAATGCAAATGACAGCAAATAAATTAATTGAACAAATAACATTTTTATATGCACTTGTATTTTATGAGATCATTTTTAAATAATTTCTCTCTTGTTGTTTGTTTTTTTTTCGACAAATCTTTTCAATTTAATGCTTCACAAATATTTTAGAAAAGATGAAAGCTCAAGTCATAAGCCCTCATAAGAAACCCCCCAAAATAAAAAGAGATGTTTTCTGGGGCCACGGTTCGTTGGATGCCCAATGAGCGATGGCCCGGCAGAGAGGCCAAAAGACATGAACAAATCATCAAATCAACTCGAGATTTATTTTAGAAATATTGCAAGTTTTTGTCGGATTTTTGGTCCGCCTCTTTCGAATTTTTTTTGTTTATAATTGTCTGGCGGCAGTGCCACAACCAGCTGACTTATGGAATTGTTTAGAAAATTGTTTTTAATTAGAAATAGTTTTGATTAGAACACAATGAAGTATTTTTGTCTCTTCTTTTGTTATTGAGAGGGTCGGCTCTTAAATAAATCTAAAAAAAAGGCATTCCAAAGTGTGAATATCATAATATTAAATCTTAAGAATTTTCTCTCTAAAAATGTAAGAAATTAATACTTATTTAAACTATTTGAATAAATTATAGGGTTTTTTAATCCAAAAATCTGAAAAACTTTTGGAAAAATCTTTAACAACTTTTTTATATGAAACCCCTTTAAACTCCAGATATATTACTATCACTTTTAGAAACTTTTAAAAAATTGCTCGAAAAATACAAATATTTTAACACCATCATAAACCATAAATAAGCACCATATATATTTTTCCACCAAAAACAAACTCTTATTTTTGCTTAAAACACACTTCAAACCTCTAAAAAGTATTAACATCATGGTCATTTTCTAAATCATACAAGCTCATATTAAAACCACTCAAAAGGAGTGGTAAAAAAGTAACTTTTTTTAATAAAGTTTCTCACACACAAAAAAAAGTAAGTATTTCTTTATAAAAAACACTATTAAAACTCTAAAACAAAACAATAAAAAGTATTCTTAGTTTTTCCTTTCCTTTAAACTAAACTACTATATATAGTTTAAACTATAAAAACCAATCAAAAACTATCCCGAAACAACGACTGTTTTTACCAAAAAGGTTCCTAATTTAGTATTGCAAAATCTAAGCAAAATACTCCTAAAAACTGCAGAAAACAAGTAAGTATTAAATATTAATATATTAATATTAACTATTGAGTAAGTATTTATATCAGAATCAGAAGAGTTTCAGAATCCCAAAACCTTCATATAATCCAGTTAATAAAACGTTTTCCTCCAAAAAGGTTCCGAATATATTGTTTCTAAATTTCTTTTCGTTAAAAACTCTTTCAAAAAACACAATGTATAGGTATTTGAATTCTAAATTATACAAAAAACCATCCAGAACACACAGCTTTTTTTCTTATAAATGACTTAGGAAACTTGTTTAAGAAAATATAAAGTAGTCTCTAAAAGTCTCTAAAGTCTAGAATACCTTAAAAACGTTAAAGAGCAAGTAAGTATTTCGAATATTTTTAAAAACCCAAAAACCATAAGAATCTATCCAGAAAACTCTACTGTTTTTTCCAAATAGGTTCCTTAAAATATTTATTTGAAAGCAAATTCAAGCTTTTCTAAAAATCTATCTAAAAAATATTTTAAGACTCCTTCAAAAAATAATTTTCAAGCCATCTCATTATTCAAATCAAAAATCAGCTTGAAAATTTCTTGAATCTTGAATACTTTCTATAATTTTAAACTTTTTTTTGCGTAAAATAGTTTTGAAAAAATCTTTTAACTATAATCTTTAAAAACTCTTTAAATTAAAATTATTTGTACGTATTGATTTAATTCTTTATTATCAAAATTATGCAAAACTTGTAAGACATTCTAGGCTTTACTTTCAAAAGTTCCCATAATTTCTATAACAACATCTTTTAAAATTCTTTCAAATAATACTTATTCTTTCTTATGAAAATCATATAGAAACTATCCAAAATGCCCTTCCAAAAACATGCTCTATAAACTCTACAATAAATATTTAAAACCCTCCTTTAAAAAAAAACTACCTTTGAAGTATTATAATTCGAAAATGCCTAAAATAAATCCCAAAAACACCAACACCCATTAGCAATAACTTTCCGATGAGCAATCGCCTTTGAATTATATTTTATTATTCATTTCGGTATTATATTGAACAAGCCATATTTGTATAATTCATTCGCACTTCATTAGAAATCATAAAAACAAGACTAATGGCATTCGAGAAATGATTTTTCAATGCCCAAAGCACAAAAATATCGTATCGCTCTCTGTGTTGTCTGTGAATGAATATTTATTTATATAAAATATTCTTTGATTTGGCTACGAAATAGGTCAGGTTTTTGTTGGAGGTGAGTTGAGAATTTCATCACAAGCGGAAGTGTTTCACACAACTAAAGAAAAAAAAAAAAGAATTGCCCACAAATCAGCGAATTTAGATCATAAAACAACAATACACGCACTCTTGAAAAAATATACAAGAATGATACCAAAAAATGTAGTATACACTTTTTTTTTTGGGGATTTCGATTCAAAATCGAAGATTGATATTTATATAGTTTTATCGTATAAAATAGAAGAACACACACCTTGAGCCACTCAGTCAGCCTCAAAGGCAGCCGACTTGGCTGCCAAACATTTTTTCCGGTTTTCCAGGGATTGTTTTTTTTTTTAGTTTCGCATTTATGTTGGTATTTTATTTTTTATGGTATATATATATATTTTTTTTTTTGCGGTTTATTTCTTGTCACTTGTCCAAAGTACTTTTCCCAGTGGCTTTTCTTTAGTTTGTTTCTCCAGCTGCTGTTTTATGCACACGCACTGCATTTCCTTAAACATTTTGCCGACATTATTCTATTTGCCACTAAGATTGCTTTCTTTTTTCTTTTCTTTTTTTGCTTGCTTGCTTTTTTATTTAAATTTCTTTTCTTTCTTTTCTCTTTTTTCTTTTATTTTTTTTTTGTGGCAAGCTCACAACACCGCACGTTGTTGTTCTTGCTGCTGTTGGGGGGGGTGGGGGTTTTGATTTGAATTATTAGTATTTTTTAAATTTTTAAATTTATGATTTATGTTATTTTTTGTTTTTAAGCACCTTAAAAAAATTTATCAAAAAAATTCTCAGAGTCGCGCGTTAAAAAATCAAAGGAAAAAAATTATTAAAAAAAAAAATTTATTTTATTTTTTCTTCTTCAAACACAAACAATAAGAGTAGAACTCCAACCGCACATGTGTGTGTGTGCTTGCGTGTGTGAGAGTGTGTGCGTACTAAGTGGGAATGCTGCTCAACTTCCGTTTCCGCTTTGCACTGCACTTCCGTTCAGTTCCGTTCCGTTCCGTTCGGCGCTTCGATCTCGACACGACTCGGACTTTCACGGCATGCCATGCCGCTTCTGCTTCAGTCGCTGTCTCTGCCTCTGCCGCTGCCACTGCCTCGGTCGCTGTCTCTGCTTGCTTAAGCAGCAACTGCGACGTCAGCAGCAGACGCAGCAGCCGCAACACGAGAGCAACGGAGTTCGCAGGCAACGAAGTTGCAACTCCCGGAGTTTCTCAGTACAATATTTTGGGGAAAAAAATCACCATTTGAAGCTTTATTTTTGCATAGTTTTGAAACAATTTATAGGTCAAGTATTGAGAGGTTTTTTTTTTAAACTAACGGGAATTGGCGTTTTTGGTTTTTTCAGTTTTTGAAAATTATGGTTTAAATTTAAATTTTTAAACCTAAATTCCGGGAGTTTTTACTATTTCTTAAGTAAGTTATTTAAAATTTTAACAAATAAACGAAATCCTGAAAAATCTTGAATCTTTTCAAAACTTTTCTAAAAATAATCCTAGTTACAACAATTTTTCATATTTTTATTCACTAATCACAGTTTCTTATATTTAAAAAAAAAAAAAAACATAAACTTTTTAAAACTTCTGCAAAGTTTTTGTTTTGAATCTTTGGTTTTTGTTAAGAAAACTGCCCTTTGGATGTTTCAAAAATCACTTTTTCAAAATCTAAGCTTTATTTGAAAACCAAAATTATTTTCAAAATTTGAATTTCTTGTAAGAAAAAAATACTCTTGTAGTCCTTTGGCTAAGTCCTGAGCTTAAGTCTTGACAAACTCTCAAAAAAAAAAAATGAATATTTTTCATAATTTTTGGAAAATGTTTTCGAAAAACACACTCGAACACACACACACTGACACAAACGCGTTGGCGGAGTAACGGTATTCACAAAAAAAAAAGTCAAGAAAAAAAAAAAAGAAGATCACACAGGAGCTGAGCTGAGAGCTGTGAGAAGGAATGTGAATGGTGATGAGGATGTGACAGAAAGGCAGAAAGGATATAAGAGACGCAGACCCGTGAACGTGTGCGAACACGCGGAAAAACAAATGCAAACTGTTTTTGCTGCATGGCATTTCGGCATTTCGGCATTTTGGCGTTTCGGCATGCGGCATTCGGCGTGCGGCATTCGGGCAAACGCCGGCGTCGACGTCGCGACGAGGGCCAAAAGCCGAAAACCGAACCGTTAGCCGAAAAGCCGCCTCCCGGCAGACAGACAATACAAGCAACCGTGGTTCGCGAGAGCGAAAGAGCGCGAGCGGTATGGCTAGAAAGGGAGAGGAAGAAAGCAGGCAAGATGCTCGGAGACACGAACGAACACGAGATGCAAAAACGACGCTGAAAACTTGGCGACGAAAGTACCGCTGCCGGCGTCGCTGTCACTCGCTCTCCCGCAACGAGCTTTCGCCGGCCGGAGGACCTAACAGGAGGCACAGAGTAAGAGTGGGAGAGAGAGAGAACTGAAATGAAACCCGGCTTCGGTATTACGGTAATGCGAGAGCACTGCAGCAGGAGCGCAATGTTCTGGTTTGTTGTTGTTTGTCTGCTGCATTGCTTCATTGCATCAGTAATTGACAAATTGCCTACATTGAGGCGCTAATTTCTTAAGCGAAAGAGAAAGAGAAGGTAACAACGGTAATGCTAACGGTAACGGTAACGGAGCTTAAGTTAAAGAGCAGGTAACGGTGCTATGCCTCAAAATTAAAATAAATAATATTAAATTATTCTTTTTTAAGAAAATTAAAGATTCTTAAAATAGGAAAAAGGCAAGAAATTTACAAAAAAAAAAGGTTTTATGAAGAAAAATGAAAATAACGGTCTATTTTGGCCTAAAATATCCTTCTTAAAAAGGTTTATGAGGTATTTTTTTTTAATATAAAGAAATAACATAATATTAAAATAATAATAAAATAATTTAAAAAAAAATTAAAACCTTAACAGTTAGAAAGCACCTAACAGCATAGACCCCCCTAACAGATCTTACTGGACACACATAGAACTATGTTAGCGCTAGCAGCGCAGTCGCTGTCTCAGCTGACGTCGCTGCCGCTGCTAGCGTCGCTGTCAACGTCGACGCTGGCCGAAAAAAACACGTTTTTGTGTTTTCTGTGCAGAAGGCATTCACACCGAAAAGTTTTTCCTGCTGCACGTGCTTTTCACGTTTTCCCCCCCACCCAAGCCCACCGAGCATCTCTGCCTCGAACGCGCTCTTTCATCCACGCACTCCCTCTCTGTCGCACACGCTTAGCCGGTTTTTTGTTTAACAAAAATATTGCATACCTAAGTGGGCCACCGCAATATATGAAGTTTACAGATGTTTTTTTTTGGAAATTTCTTTTTTTGAAAATATTCGAAATTCTTGCACAATTTTGATAAAATAATTTCCAAAAATTTGATTGTTTTTTGGTTTTTTTATTTTATTTTATGTAGGTGATGCAATCACATTCTCCTTCTTCTCTCTCGCTCTTGCACTTAAAACTCTGATTTTTTATTTTAATTTTTTATATTTTACTGGTGTTGTTGTTGTTATTGTTTACTATTACGCGAAGTATTGCCGATTTATGCGTGTGTTGTTTTTGTTATGGCAACTCTTTTGGGTTTTCAGGACGAGTCTTGAGGTGAAAGCGGCGCGTGTTAATGCACCACTTCCTGTTGGGCTACTGTACCGTTATTATTTTGTGCATTGCCGGCAAAGCAACTCTCTTTTTTCGCTCAGCCCTCGCTCCCACTCTCTCTCTCTCTCTCTTAGCAGCAGAGGCAGCTGGGAAAACTGCAACTCCGGGCATGCGATTTGAACCCACCAAAGATGGGTTAACATCAGAGAGCTTTGCAGATGCGCGTTAACTTCGGGCTAACGGGAGATGCTCGCTCGGGTGTTTTGTCAGATTTCGGTTTTCGCCTTTTCGGTTTCTCCGCTTTCGGGGCTTTTGTTGATGTAGGTCTGGATTTTCAGGACACGTGTCCCTGGTGGCTAAGGAGGGGGAGGTGGTGCTGTGGGGGATTTTAGGGCTTTCCCCAATTTTGGCCGCCTATTCTTCCGCCTTTCATTTAAAACTTTATATTTTTTTGTAGCCAACTTTTAGGCTTCACAGGAGTCTCGACCAAAACTATAGTTGATATATTTTATTTTATTTTTTTTTTAAATAAAAATATATCCTATAACTGCATTGGTATTAGTGCACGTGTGCGTGTGAGTTCAATAGCATTTTGGGCGAAAGGCGAAAAAAAAAGAAAGAAAGAAAGAAACAACAATAAAAAGCAGCAGCTTGCAGCTGCAGTGAGAGAGAAAGCCAAAAAGTTTTGGACAAAACAGAGAACCTGGAAGAGAGCACAGCCATGCAGAGAGCTAGTTGCTGCTTAACAGTTAGTTAACAGTTAGCTGGCATAAGCGATTAAAAGCTTTTCAGAGAAAGAGAAAGAGGAGAGAGCGTAAAATGAGTGGGGTAAATGTACGGTACTTCTGCAAAAGGATCGCGAGATCGGAGCCATAAGGAAGCATCAGGGAAGGATAGGGATCCTCATGGAAGGAAAATAAAAAAGATAAATAAATAATAATGCATTTTTAATAGAAAATGGGTCTTATTAATAGAATTTTAATACAGGTATAATATTATTTAGGTACTATAATAGTTATAAAGGTAATAACAGTCATAAAAGTAATAATAATAATAATAGTAAGCATAGTAATAATAGTAATAATATTAATAATAGTAATGATAGTGATAGTGATCATTTTAATAAAATGAAAATTCAAAAAATATATTTAAAGTAAAACGAGTAAAAAAATAATATTATTTATGATTATATTGCTGGAACTTATGATAATAGTTTTTTTTTTTAATTTTAATATTTTATTCAAAAATATATACTAAAATTAGTAAAAGAATAACAATAATTACCAATGCCGATAATAAAAATACATATGTACATATTTTAATAATATATGTAAATAGTAACACTGCTAATGATGAAATTAATTGCTTAAAATAACACAAATATTGATACTATTTCAGATAATAATAAAAGTAAAACTGCTCATAATAATACGATTAATGATAATATTAAAGCAAATACAGATAAGCCCTACACTAATTGCCCTACCGATATTGTCAATATTTATGAATAAAATAAAAAGGTATGCTGGTACTAGTTAAAATAATACTTATACTTGTAATATTAATGGATATACCTATAATTATGATTCTTATACTTATTATGGTAACTTTACTTAGGGTTATAATACTAATTACCATGATTATATTGCAAATACTGATAATATAAATAGGTAAACTGATATTACAATATTTGATGATAATAGTTGCAATCCTTATAATAATAATGCTAAAACTCACATTATTTATACTAATACTAATAATAGAAGTATGAAATATTTTAATATTTCATTCCGTAATAATAATATAATTCCGATAACGAAACTAATGATAATGCTGGTAATATTAATAGTAATAAATAAAGTTATAATAGTAATAATAGTTATATAGTGGTAATAATAGTAATATAATAGTAATGATAATAGTAATGATCCTAACAAATAATAATAATAATAATACTGATAAATACATAACACTAATATTCATAATAGTAGTGATACTAACAACAATAATACGAAAGATACTAATAACTCAAAAATAGTGATATTGATAGTAATATAATATACCTATAGTGATAAAAAATAACAATGCTCATAATAATAATACTAATACTTATAAGAATAACACTAGTACTGATAATAGTAGTATTAATAATGTAAAAAATAATAATTCTAATACCCATACTTATACTAATACTGATAATATTAATATTAATACAAAAAATAAAACAATTGCAACTATTACAACAATGTTACTAAAAAAGATACTAATAATTCAAATACTAATACTGATAAAAATAACACTAGTACTGATAATATTAATGTTAAAATTGTCAAAAATAATAATTCCTATACCCACAATAAAAAAAAACTCCAAAACCTAAAAACCCAAACGCAAATCGCTCAATAAACGTACTACTATGTTGTGATCTACAGACCGAAAGCCGATAAGATAAGGAATCGGAAACGGTATATTACCAAGAATTCTAAAGTGTAAGGTTCTGGGCATTCGACTGATAAGGGAACACACAATAAGAACCATTAATTGTTTGTCCAAAAAATCAAATATCAAAAATAAAGACATTCCGACAAGTTTCAAGAAAGCGAAGGAAGAAGATACTGACCTCAACAAGATACTACCATATACTTATTATAAAATCTTGTCAATAAAATACCGAAATAAAAATACCAACATAAGTTTGCCATAAAATAACTATTATTTAATGGTATTATTATTTAAAACCTTTTAGGCCGAAAGAGTATACAGCTTGAGTACAGTTCTCCTAAAAGTGAAACCTATTAATTTTGAAGCTACAAAGGCGTGGAAAGACTACAAGTGCCACATACTATATAGAGAGAGATATATAGGATCAATTCCGGTGATGGGAATGGGCCCTGCAAGTGTGACCCTGGAGGGGAAAGAGGCCGGCATACTCCTTGATGGTCACCTCCAGGTAGAGCGATTCGGTGTTGTTGTTTGTCAGTATCTTGAGGTCCTTGCCGCCCAGTCGCATATGATAGTGGCGGGACTGCATGACGGCCCGGCACTGGTGGGACTTCCGAAGACCCCTTACCTTCAGTATCGAACTGACGCTGGCGTCCAGCCGGCGATTGAAAACGGTTATCATGCAATGAATGGGCTGGGGCAGGTCCATGCTCATCATCCACAAGGTCAGGACGTCCGACTCGTCGTCGGGGGTGACCGGGTAGTCGGAATCGGTGTCACCGTGGCAACCTCCGGCAATGTCCCTAAAGCGAACCCTGCGTCTCGATTCCGGTCGATTCCGGCAGATCATCACAAACAATGGCAAGCATCCTTCCAAGTTCGCAAAGGATTCGGGCAGATCCTTGTTCGGGGTGGGCATGAACCGGCGAATGGGCAATGTGCAGTGGCGACCTCTGACCCCGCCATAGACCAGTACGGATATGCAGGTGTTGCGGCCCAAATCCAAGTTCTTGGGTTCGAAGACGACCAGCAGCCGGTTCTCCTCGAAGGTCTCCGTCACCTGGACGCTCGTATCGCCGTGGTACTCCAGGTAGTGGATCAGCAGGTGCTCATTACGCACCATCGGGCAACGACGCCGCCCGAAGGGGCAGGGGTGCTTCTCGCCCAGCCTTACGATCGGCCTCACCACAAAGCCCTGGGCCACGATGCGCTGGCGGTACTCCTCGTCGGACATGTCCTGCAGCAGGCGCACCTGTCCCAGCCGGAACGCCAGGTCCTGGCGCTGCTCGTCCAGCGTCAGCTTGGCAAACTCACCAGCAAAGTACTTGGCCCGGTCGAGGTCGTCGTCCTCCTCGAAGAGCGGAGTCGTCAGGCAGCCGGCATCCAGCCGATCGATCGGCTGGTACTTAAGTGCGGATCCCAGCCGATAGAGTCCGTGGCTGGGCGGCTTCTTGCAGTAGTAGATTGGCATCTTCCACACCGCCGTGAGAGTGTCTGACTCTAGGTCCTGGTATTGGCCCTCACTGGAGTGACGGGAAGTTTGGAGTTCACTGTCAGCCTCATAGCCGGCCAAGCTCCTGCCAGGGGAGGACGATCGGCTGCCCGCGTTATGATCCAGTTTCGGCTTCTTCAGGCAGGAACGTCGTGGTGTGGTCTTCTGCATGACCGTCACGAAGGAGCGCTTACTCTTTGGCTCCTCCTCACAGCTGCAGCTCGATGCCGATTCGCGCTCCCAGCGCTCCGCCAGTGCCTCCTCCGAATAGCTGATGGATCGGGGCTGCACCAGTGCCTTTAGCACCGGCACTGTGGATCTACGTGACTGATATCTGGGCGCCACAACCTCCTCCTTTTTGTCCTCTTCATGGATGTTCGTCTTTGCGTAATTCCAGCTCAGCACAGGCTCCGGACTTGATGATCTGGAGTAGCTACGCTGCCGCATCCCATCCTTTCTGTTGTTGTTTCTGTAAGGTCCTCGTTTCTGGTCCGCCATCTCCACCTCCTTATTATCGAAAATAGATCCTTGATTTTCCAACTTGTGTTTCAATAAACTGTCCCGTTTATTTTCCGTTTCTAGATTTTGGATTTTTAAAAATTGTTTTTCTTTCGGAGGCGTCTGACCTTTCCAGTTCAGTCGACGGCTATGAAATGAACTCTCCAGTCTCGTCGAACCCCCAGCTGTCACTTTGTAGCTTGATTTTCTTCTCAAGGCTATAGTGTCGTGATTCTCCAAACTATGTTGATCGTTCAGGAAACCGCCCTGCATTCTGGTCTCACCCTTCCTGCGCTCCAGATAGTCCATGGAGTAGAGCTCCAGGGCCGTGACCGGCAGGCCCATCTTCTCGAAATGTAAGCTCCGCCGAAACAGATCCACGAAACCCACAGATCCTCTGGGAGGATATTCCTCGGATGAGGTTGATATCTCGTCTTCGGTGGGTGGCTGGGGTGACTGGGCTGACTGGGGTGACTGTGGTGGCTGTCTCCCCTCCCAGACTGTACCACCCACCGCTCGATCCGGTTCCTTGTCCTCGATGCGATGGACCAACTTCAGATACCCATGGGCCAGCTGGCTCATCACTCGCTTCACTAAACGGACTCTACTTAGGAGGCTCTACAGATCTCTGATGGAGTCTACCTACCAGTTGTCGATTGTTGTGGAAACATCGTCTGCCTGTCACGGCCATCGTCCTCGTCGTCCTCCTCCCCGGAGACCTGATCCTTGTCCCCCCTACCCCGATGATCCTTACCACCGATTCGTGATGTTGTCGTAGGAGGTGTTGCCTTCCCTTCCAAGTAACAGAACTTTTTGCCCATAATTGTGCTTTTTGTTGTTTTTGAAAGAAATTTTAATTTAAATTTTTAAAATTTTTTTTATATATTTTTTTTGTTTTGGAAACCAAAAGTTGTGACGAAAATTTAAAAGGGTTGCTGTGGTTTATATGGTTATCCCAAAACAAAAATTGCCTTATAATCGTTATTGCAACTATTGGAATTATCTCAGCTGTTTGCCAACAAAAATCGCACCTGTGTCTGACACCTGACCGCCTGGGGTATCTTGGGCTTATCTTCCGTGGAAGAAGGAGGTGACTGGTGACTCTGGTGACTACACTCCGCCGACATAAAGCAGCTGGCCCAGTAATAAAATCACTCGACTATACCGTAACCTGAACACCTGTTCCACAATACGATTCGATAAGCTGGCGACCCTCTCGAGACCCTCCGATGCCGTAAAAATTATACGGCTCGGTAACGTCTAATCTCTCTACGATTTCCCCCAAAAACCTACCCATGAGAACTACGACAAGGTAGAGTACTTTGCTGCCGGATGAGTGATTCATTTCGGGTATATCTTGGAAATAAGTCCCCGATTCGGGGAACCAAATGAAAGGTTAGTTATACAAAGTTTTGGGTTAGAATGGGGGTTTTAAGATCTTGGAATAGTTGTAATCCTTTCATCATAAAGTACCTCAAGTACCTTTTCTGTAGGATCATGTGTAGTAGAGGAAGTTGACTTTTGCGAAACACAATTGGAGCCGAGGTTGATATACCCTTGCAGTTAAAACCGGATGTATATCGCAAGCATCGGATATAGTTGGCCGATCCTTATGAGAATATGATAATATAATCCAATTAATTACAATAAAATATGTAAAAAAAAGTCCCAAGCTTCTATGTTCAAAAATATCAATGTTGGTATTTCTACCAAAAACCATTTTTGATCGTTCAGTTATAGGGCAGCTATGTTTTCTTAAGCTTGTAATTTTCCTGAAAAGTCAGTAAATAATAGTTCTCTTACAAATTAAAGTTTATAAAAAAGAAAACCAAATAATTATTCTATTTAGAAGATATAGGAAGAATACTCCAAGCAAGAAAACATTCAAGAACTTAAATATTCTTACAGCGTCTGATATTACAAGTTAGTCTTACTTACTTAAGTTTTTAAAAATAAATGCTAAATTAATGAAGAAAAAATATAAATACATTTTGGATAAACATTTAAAAGTTTTCTTTTTAAAGTTTAAATATATATATTAAATATATTAAATACTGAGATCCCTCAGTTATGGTAACCCCCATCTCCTCCTTAGATCTTGACCTCTAGTATCTAATCAGCCCCTTCGTTGCAGAGCTCAGTAGTTGGCCCTTAATCACCTGTCGCCAGGTGATTGCCCAGCACTGATGTTAATCCGCCGGCCGATAAGAAGAGAACCCATTAATGGAGCCCCGAGCCCCAAACCCGAGAATTTCAGAAGCTTATCGGAGGAGGAGATAAGCCCACCGGCATGGAGGAATCTAATCACACTCCAAGTACTCCAAACGATTTCCGATACAGAACCGTGCTAATGGCTTGACTATTGTTTGGTAATGTGTATTTTAGTTTAGTAACTGGCGTGCGGCCGGCGCGACTTCATCCATCGATTGGAAACTAAACCCGTTTCTTTTTTTTTTGAGTGTTTGTGGCAATGAAAGTGTTGTTGTTGATCCTCTGGCTAGCTTTCGGGCTGGCTCGGGCCCAGGAGCAGTTGGGCTGCATCTGGTATGGACAGAGTCACATGATCGGCTCCCATTGGCAGAATCTGGCAGACACCGATCCGGCCAGGCCGCTGAACAATGCCGCCGCCGAGGCGATTTTTGCTCGGAGATGTCCTCTCCTGTACAAGGAGTACAAGGGGGAGAGCGGCCAGGACGAACTGGTACTGTGCTGTGATGCCGCCCAGATCGACACCATGGACAGTGGCCTCTCCCAGGCCGATGGAGTGTTCTCACGATGCCCCACCTGTACGCGGAACATGGCTCAGACCGTGTGCGCCATGACCTGTGCCAAGAACCACACCCTCTTCCTCACAGCGTACACGGCCGCGAATCCGGAGGGGAAGGACTACGTCGAGTCGATCGACTATCGGATATCGGACACCACCGTTTCGGGCATCTACAACAGCTGTGTGGGCATCCAGCACACCCAGACCGGGCGCCCGGCCATGGACTTGGGCTGTGGGGCCTACAACGCCAAGACCTGCAACTACCGGAGGTGGTACGCCTTCATGGGCGATGTTGATGGCGACTATGTGCCCTTCCAGATCAACTACCAGTGGTCGGACGACGCCGGCGAGGGCTTCACGGCCGACTACCTGGAGCTGTTCCCCCTCAAGTGCGGCGAGAGCTACGAGGATAGCTACGCGTGTGCCTGCATCGATTGCGATGAGTCCTGTCCCCTGACCGAGGCACCCACCGGCCCGGAGGAGCTCTGGAAGATCGCCGGCCTCTATGGTGTTACCTTCATTGTTGGTCTGTTGATTGCCGCGGTCTGCTCATTCCTGATCTTTTGGGGCGCCCGGAGCGGCAGCACATCCCCCAGTTGTTGCATGCCGACCCTCTTCGGAGATTTCTTCTACGTGGGCTTCCGGCACTGGGGCACCTTCTGCGCCCGGCATCCGGTTCTGGTGCTGGCCCTGTGCTCCTGGGCCATCGGTGGACTGTCGTACGGCATCCGGTACATGACCATCACCACGGATCCCGTCGAGCTGTGGGCCAGCGAAAAGAGCCAGACCAGGATCGAGAAGGACTACTTCGATCAGCACTTTGGACCCTTCTACCGCACCAATCAGCTCTTCATCAAGGCCATCAACCAGACCTACGTGGGTTTCTTTTTGAATTCCTGGGGGTACAGACCTCTTTTCATGTCCTTTGTCCTTTTTCCAGTTCACCCACGAGGCTCCCAGTGGCCTGCTCGAGTTCGGACCTGCCTTCGAGTACAACTTCCTGAAGGAAGTCTTCGAGCTGCAGGAGTCCATCATGCAGCTGGGCGTTGCGGACGGCGAGGGTCTGGACAAGATCTGCTACGCCCCCGTTCTGATGGCCGGCCAGACCCCCGACATCGATCACTGTGTCGTCCAGTCGGTCTTCGGCTACTTCCAGCACGACATGTCCAAGTTCGAGAACTCCTATGTGGACAGCAACGGCTACACCATCAACTACCTCAACCAGCTGGAGGATTGCCTCAGGTGAGTGTCCCCCCTCCCCCCTCCGAAGGGTGTTTCCCCCGCCAGTGGCCCTCATCCCACTCATCCCACCTCATCTCACTCCTTTCAGAGTGCCCATGATGGAGGACTGCTTCGGCACCTATGGCGGTCCTATCGAACCCGGCATTTCTGTGGGTGGCATGCCCAAGGTGCCCGTGGGCGAGGATCCCGACTACATGCTGGCCACCGGTTTGGTGATCACCTTCCTGGGCAAGAACCAGAACGACGCCTCCAAGCTGGAGCCCAACGAGAAGTGGGAGAAACTGTTCGTGGACTTCATGCGAGACTACCAGAGCGACCGGCTGGACATCGCCTATTCGGCGGAGCGATCCATCCAGGACGCCATCGTGGAGCTGTCGGAGGGCGAGGTGGGCACCGTGGTCATTAGCTACCTGGTGATGTTCGCCTACGTGGCGGTGGCCCTCGGCCATATTCGCAGCTGCCTGGGCTTCCTGCGCGAGTCGAGGATCATGCTCGCCATCGGTGGCATTGTCATCGTGATGGCCTCGGTCACCTGCAGTCTGGGCTTCTGGGGCTACCTGGACGTCACCACCACCATGCTGGCCATCGAGGTGATACCCTTTCTGGTCCTGGCCGTCGGCGTTGACAACATCTTCATCATGGTCCACACCTACCACCGGCTGGATCACACCCAGTTCCCGACCACCCACGAGGCAATTGGCGAGGCCATCGGCCAGATTGGTCCCTCGATCCTCCAGACGGCGGGCAGTGAGATGGCCTGCTTCGCCATCGGCTGCATCGCCGACATGCCGGCCGTGAAGACCTTTGCGATGTACGCCGCCATTGCCATCCTCCTGAACTTCCTGCTCCAGATCACCGCCTTTGTGGCCCTGATGGCCATCGACGAGCGTCGCTACCAGGACGGTCGCCTGGACATGCTCTGCTGCCTGCGCAGTGGCAGCTCCAAGAAGCTATCGGGCGAGGAGACGGCCGCCGCTGAGAGGAGCAAGGAGGCCGGAATGCTGGAGAGCTTGTTCAAGAACTTTTACTCGCCTTTCCTGTTCGCCAAGTAAGTCCTTCGGCTAGTCCTTCCATTATTCCATGTCCTTATCCCATATCCCCCCCAGACCCGTCAAGGTGGCTGTCCTGCTGATCTTCACCGTGGTCACCTGCCTATCCATAATGGTGGCACCCTCCATCGAAAAGGGACTCGACCAGGAGATGTCCATGCCAAAGAACTCGCATGTCGTCAAGTACTTTCGCTACATGGTCGACCTCCTGGCCATGGGTGCTCCGGTCTATTGGGTCCTCAAGCCGGGTCTCAACTACTCCCAGCCGCTGCAACAGAACCTCATCTGCGGCGGTGTCGAGTGCAACAACAACTCGCTCTCCGTCCAGCTCTACACCCAGTCACGGTATCCGGAAATCACCAGCATGGCCAGGCCGGCTGCCTCCTGGCTGGATGACTACATCGACTGGCTGGCCATCACCGACTGTTGCAAGTACAATGTCACCACCATGGGTTTCTGCTCCAGTAGTAAGTGTTTCTACCAAGAGTCCTTTGAAGATTTTATTGAGTTTTTTTCTAAAAATCTAGACTCCAAGAGCGACGACTGCTTGCCGTGCGAGCGCGGCTTCACGGAGAATGGCCTGCGACCGGATGCCGAGACCTTCAGCAAGTACATACCCTTCTTCCTCTTCGATCTTCCAGATGCCGAGTGCGCCAAGGCGGGCCGGGCCTCCTACGCAGACGTGAGTACTAAGGAGAATCTCTTCCATGGAGGAGATGAGAGACTAATCTTTGTTGAGAATCTTTTCAGGCCGTCATTTACACCATCGACGACGAGGGCATGTCCACCGTGGGTGACTCCTATTTCATGCAGTATTCCACCACCTCGACCACCTCTGTGCAGTTCTACACGCAGCTGAGTGAAGTCCGGAGGATCGCCGGCGAGATCAACACGATGTTCGAGGAGAACGGCGTCGATGCCGAGATCTTCGCCTACTGCGTCTTCTACATCTACTACGAGCAGTATCTGACCATCTGGGAGGACACAATGTTCTCCCTGGGCATGTCCCTGCTGGCCATCTTCCTGGTGACCCTGCTGGTCACCGGCCTGGACATCACCTCCACCCTGATAGTCCTCTTCATGGTCATCTGCATTCTGCTCAACATGGGCGGCATGATGTGGGCCTGGAGCATCAATCTGAATGCCATATCGCTGGTCAACCTGGTCGTCTGCACGGGCATCGGTGTGGAGTTTGTGGCCCATATTGTGAGGTCCTTCAAGAGGGCCGAGGGCACGGCCCAGGAGCGCGCCCGCTTCTCCCTCAATGTCACCGGCAGCAGTGTCCTGTCGGGCATAACGCTCACTAAGTTTGCCGGCATTGTCGTTCTGGGCTTCTCCAATTCGCAGATATTCCAGGTCTTCTACTTCCGGATGTATCTGGGCATTGTCTTGATTGGAGCGGCCCATGGGTTGATCCTGTTGCCGGTCTTGTTGAGTCTCATGGGGCCACTGGACAGCATGGCGGGGAGTCCTAGAACTTCCCTAGTACCCAGGGCGTCCAGCACCTCTACGACCTCCGAGGCCTCAAGAACTTCCTCTCCCAAGTCCCCAACTCCCACTGTCTGATGAACGGCAGTACCATATATATCCCAGTACTGCGAGAGTACCGGATATCTTATATCTGATCTGCTATATAGTTTGTAAACTGCGGTGTGAGTGGAACCGAGTGCCTGGCTGTGTGTCTGCGAGGGAGAGCTTATTTAATTGAAACCCTCTAGTATTTATGAACAAAAAATGAATGTGAAACAAGCTTTGAAATAAACTTTTCAAGAAAGATAATCCTCTGTGGGGCTCAGTAGCAGTCACTCATTGTTTATCGACGTGGCACCTTTGCCTTTTATGGCTTTAAGCAACTGCCCAACTGCCCAGCCACCGTCAAAACAATAAACAGAAACGGAGATGGAGATGGAGACGCGGCTATAACTTCACGGAAAGTACACCATCCCCCGCTAAGCCCTAAGCCAGGCAGCCTTTCTCAACCCTTGTGGACAGTTCACGTCTTACGCCTTTTTGGGGGATAAGTTAAGCTGTGATTTTTTTTTTAAAGATATTCCTAAGAGTTCTCCCCAATGAGAACTACAAATGCTCTCTAAAAGAAGTATATACCCAGGGCCTATACTATAATTTTTAAACCTCTAGTACCTCTAATTAAATAAAATATTAAATTATAACAAATAATTAGCATATCAGCAAAGCCAACAGGGCGTATGATGGATGTAAGAATATTAAGTATACGCCATGTGGTATACATTTTAATGCCATTTTTGCCATTTCCGCAGTTATTTGTATTTAAAATTGATTTAAAAAAAAAACATTGAATAATTTATAGAGCATTCTACGCTTTGCTAATAATCCGGTTTTGTTGATTCTATTATTTTGCTGGCCTTTTTAAAGGAGTAAGTTTTCGTTGCTTTTAACTGCTTTGCCAGTCGAGCAGTCGAGTGTTTTGCGGCAACACCCTTAAAACGAGTCGAGTGTTTTTAATTAAAATTAATAAAGTTTCAAATGCTTTTTGTGAGAAAAGCAGCAAACATTTCTTCTTTCCAAAAACTCAAACAATCACTCAAGGCGAGCATGTGTGAGTGTTTCTGTGTTTGGACATTAAGATTCATGCCGGCAAGCACTTGAAATAGCCGACAATTGAAAAGCATAATTATAAATGTATCAACTAATGCATATGGCAAAATCAATTAGCAATTACCCCCAAAAACACACACACACATACATACTATGACATCCAAAGAATATATCTACATATAGCACACATATATTCGAGATGAAGTGCAAATTGAGTTGGCCAAGTGTCTGTTGGATGGGTTGGCCTGTTTTTCATCCTACACTTTAATTGCCATTGAAATGCGACTGTCTGGCCTTCGGGCCTTAACAATGCCAAGTGCTAATGCCAAAAATTTTACCAAATGAGCCGGAAAACAACTCACAAAAGAAAATAAACACGTGCCCCATTCACAAAATACCCAACACATTTGATGATCTTTAATGGCAGAATGCTTGACAAGTGCGGTTTAGTTTGTAAATTGTGCATTTCGAGTGTTTTTTTTTTTTTTTATTCAGTTTTCATTCGAAAAGTCTAGTCCAGTATGGTAATGGCCATTAAATGAAGAGCCACCTTGTTCTCAATTGATATTCGAGAGGCCTTTCAAGTGGCTGGCAGTATTCTGGATGGGAGTTCATAATCATAATTTGTTCTAAGGGTTAGTGATTTAATTAAAGGTAAATATAGAGAGTTAATAGTTTTATTGTTGATTAATCAGAAATATTATCTAGCTATCTAAACTGCTTACTATGGCACTTTCTATTTCATTTATTTATTATCTACGCTATAAATTCTAGATATTTGTTTTTATAGACTATATGATACTCTATGGTACTTTATTATCCAATTTTTTTATCATCCAAGTAAATGCCTTCTAGAAAGTAATAATTATGTGAGTATTAAGTCCACACTGTGCCTAGCGGTAAGGTATTATGTGTCTTGAGTAGCAATGGGCACACTAAGAGTAACTGTAAACACAACCAAGTGTATATTTAGTTGAAAAAATAAAGAAATTTAAAAGAAAATAAATTTTATTAAAAATATTTAAAAAAATATTTTAAAAAATATCAATCTGTCAATATAGCTTCTTCCTATTCACTACCACTCGAAGATCTACTATACCAATGATTTATTATGTATAAGCTATGGTACCTGGTACATCTACTATCCTACTGTTCTGTACTATACTATTCTTTTATTATATTTTATAAGAATTTTAATCATTAAGTGAATATTAAGTCCACACTGTCTAGATTTAGCGGGTTTCTTTATTTAATGTAGAAACAGACACACTTAAAGTAACTTAAATACCAATAAAATGTATATTAATTTAAAAACCTTTAGAAATTGAAACGAAAAATCATTTTAATTAAAAAAAAAAAATATTTTAAGTCAATCTGGCATATTTATTTATAAATTTTTATTATAAAGTCATATAAGGAAGGAATATCCCATTGACTACCAACTAATCATACAATCTATTTCATTTACTATTTTCTAAGACTATATATGTTAGTTTCTATATACTATATGATACCTAGTACCCTTCTATTCTGTGTACCCTTCCTGTTAATCTTTCAGAAATATTTCATGGGTGAAGTTTTTATTTTGTTTTAATTTTGAATAGTTAGAGTTATTAACTGTTCAGAGCTCTTACTATTAAGTACCAGTATTCAGTTTGATCATAATATCTATATACCCATTATATATATATAAAGTCTATCTGTAATATCACATTATATATGCCATATTAGACACTTTATATTCCTTTTACTTTAAAGAATAGTTTATATTTCTATTATATTTCAATTTCTATAGTCACATGGTATCAGTCAGTTTCTATATAGATGGTATCTGGAACTGTACTATCCCTTATTTTTAACCTTTCAAATATATCAGAAGACTCTATAACACATATTATTTCTTCTCTCCCTCTGCCTAAACCCATAACCGATATACCTTTCTTCCTTTACTCCAAAAATACCTGCCATAAACACTTCCCAAAAGATATCTCAAATTCCATTAGTAGCATCTTGCCAGACTCAGACCGCAAAATGGAAAACGCAAAAATGAAAACCCCGAAAAATCCAAGGCATAAATCATTCGTATGAGCGGCAACACACATTTCCCACTGAAGTTCAGGCGAACGAATCAACGAATTAATGCCGCAAGTGTGGCAATAAAAATTTAAATTAATTGATTTTGTTTTTGGTGTGCGGCATTTGGCATGCGGCATGTGGCAAGTGGCATGTGTGGCCCCAAAAAAAAAAACAAAAAATATTCAAAAATAGGACGAGGCAAGAGCCTTAGAGGCTCTCCTACGCACGATATGCGGACTCGGGACCCATAACCAGGTCATAACTCACGAGGGGAAGGCATTAAAATAAAATTCTGCGCATAATATTAATCGGTTATTGGCCAAGAGACCTACAGAGGCAGTAAAGGCCGTAAATGTATTAACTGTATCAGAAAACTTGCCATCCAAAAAGCACCAACTGACTGACTTAGCTTCTCTTGGGAGATTTTATTTTATTTTATTAAAATACTAGAAGCATTTTTTATATTTATTCATCATTTAATTAATTCAAAATTTTTGGAAAATAGTTAAATTTTGTAATTATTTCCCTAAAATCATTTCTCTGCTTATAAGCTTCTTCAATAACTTGCATTTAGTATTTTATTCAAATATGCTATTAACGCCAAAATGTTTCTAAAGCGTTAGGGTATTAATATGTCCCCAAAATTATATTTAATAAACTGAAACGGGCACATTAAAACATATTCAAATTCATTTTAAGTCAAAAACTATAACTGGCAAACCCATAAAGAACTTGTTAAGTTTCAAAATAAAAAAAACAAACCATACTCTCTAAAACATACTTAATTTCAATTAAAAATTAAAAATTTCTTTAATCATTTCTAATAATTTCAATTAACATTTAGAAACCCAAACATAATCCAAACAAAGCACCGATTAACTGCCAATATTTCATTCTATAACATATTCATCTTTTGATTTTATAATCCAAGCCACATTAAATTCCTAAAACATCCCCTTTATTTTTCTTTGCGCCCAAAAATTGAACTTTTCAATTATTTTGCAATTAGTAGGTGCATTTGTAAATTCCATTTAAATTGGCGTGTAAATATTTTTTTGTTTTCCAGTTAGTTGGCTTAATTAATGCAATCAACTAAACCAAAACCAGAGGGCCAAAGTCAGTATTGTTGTATGGATTTTGGGTCCGAAATGACATGGCCTAAGCCGGGCTAAGCCTAACTCCATTCCGTTTCCGCATTCCGACTGGATGTCGGCAAATTGCTTTTTAATACAAATTAATTACAAAGGAGGAAATTCAATTTTTAGGAGATACACTATACGTATAGTAGTAGTTTACCGCCATTCTGCCAAAACCAAACGTGCAAAAATAGGAAATACGAGAAAAAAAAAGAAAAAAAAAAAGTTAATTAAAGCAACGCGCACATAAGCGTACTGGCACATTTTCAATGATGGAGATGGAATATTTAATTTATTCATTTGCTGACATAAACCCCGGACTATTGGACAACAGGACTACAGGGGTCTCCACTATCCTACCGGCTGTAGTCGAACCCTCTCTCTCTCTCTCTCTCTCTCTGGTCTATAGACGAATCAGTAATTTATAAACGTGCTTATAAGCCGCAATCCAATTCGCAATTCGCAATTCGCGTTTTTGGCTAAAATTACACTTGCATCAGGCCAGAAACCCATTTCCAACCAGACCCCTTAACGGGCTTTCAGTGTCCTCCTCCATGAAAATGCTATCAACACTGACAAAACTCAAAAAACTGGCCAACTGGCCGTGGCCATGGCCATGGAATTGGCCTAGTCTATAGAGGCCACTACCCTCTACATTTTCCCAGGGATTTTTGCCCCCCAAAATGGGGGCTTATGAGGGGCCAAGGGGGGAGGGTATCAAAGAGAGGGTCTAAAACTAAAACTAAAAACTCCAAAACTGAAACTGAAGCCAAGCGAAAGCGCGCGAACGAATGAGATTTGGGTTTCTCCTGTCCAGTTTTTTTTTTTTTGTTCTTTATTTCAAAATTAAAATTGAAAATGAATTAAAGTTAACCCCAAACATACACAAAAAAATACTTGATTTATTAATGATAAAAAAAGGGTAATGGAGTCTAGAAAAGACTGATTCATCAGTTTGTATATTTTTTAGTAAACTAAACCAACTAATAG